CCCCAACGTGCATTAGATTTGCAAAACATCCAGAATCGATTAGTGAACGTTCGCGAACGAGAGATTATTCTTGATGTTTCTCAGTTGGTTCTTGAGATTCCTGAGTAGAGGACGTGAGGTCACGAACCAGCGAATAATTACGAATTAATTCCTGTTTTGTACGTAAGATATTCTGGAAATGATCAGTTAAGACTCCGCGTCAATTTGAAAACGTGTTCATGCCGTGACTCGTTGTTTTGTTTTTTTCTTTTCAACATTTTTTACAATTAACTAACTTGTTTAAGGCGATCTGATCATTTGGTTAAAGATCTGATCATTTTAGGTGAATAAAAGGAATTTTGAGTTGACTTTTACAACTTGTGCGCAAATTTAATTTTGTGATCAATGGATCGATAGGGATATTGTAATGGCTTGAAATAGAGAAGTTTACTTTGCCTCGCGCGCGGAAAGATCTCAAGCATGACGTCATGTAAATTTCGAAATTGGTCACATGTTGCATCTCGAAAGAAAGTCTTTGTCATTCTCTTTCGGTGAGTCAGCCGGCGAATTGGTAATTTGGAAGGTATTGCGGGTAAGTTGCTCCAACTTGACGTTGCGAACCGGTCAGCAGAACCTTAATTTTTTTAATTCAATCTAAGTGTAAACAATGGAAGGGCTAAACGGGAAAAATGCTTACTGTTCAGCACGTGACGTAACCTAGACTTAAATATGGCGGCCGTTTTCGCGGTACTGCCCCTTTAGGAAGCTGCAATGTCACGTTCTTGCCATAATCCCTTATCATATAACTGCAAATATTTTGATCGCCAGCAATATAATATTTTCCACCATTGGTTTCGTAGTGTCGAGTCTCAAGCGGGCGAGGACGCCTTCGCCTGAAGTCCCCAACAAGATGGCTCCCGTAAAAGACTTGATCGAACAGAACATCAAAGACAACAATGTAATGGTGTTCTCCAAGTCGACTTGCCCATTTTGTAAAAAGGTAAGCGTGTTTCTTTTTCTTTCCTTTTGAGAAACCGAAAGGAAAATCACGATCGAACTAAACACTCTTTTTTTTTTACCTTGGGACGTTGATAAATTTAGCTCTCGTCTTGTGTATTCTTCCGTGTGAAAAATCACTCCCCGCGCATATTCACTTTTGTAAATAAATATACAGAACAAAATCTACTTGCTTTCTGGCGATATATGTGTTTCAAGCTAACAGCTCCACTTTCGTTGATTAGAAGCTAGATCTTTTCATCGCAGATCCCAGAAGAGAAAGTTGCGTAATACACTTGCGTATCTGTAAAAAAATATTCTACTAAGATTCGTTCAAGACAACGATTTTAAGGTCTAATAATCATCAACATAACAAGCTTGACGCCTGTTTAAATTAATGCTTTCCTGAATATGCAGGAATTAACGGGATCTGACTGTTGAAATCTCTTCGGCTTTTACGGATCACAAGAACTGTACTCTTATTCTCTTTAGGAGATCGGTACTCGTTATTGCCGAGCATAAACAATACTTAAATGCGGCCATCTAGATTTCGATCTCCTTTATGAACTAAGTGATCCTTTCGATGACAGAATCAAACCTTTAATAATGAAAAGAAAAAACGCTGCCGTACAAACTTGGAATTTGAATACGCAGTCACGGAACGAAAAGAAAAAGTTTTTGCCACAAGGCGCTATTTAGTACATTTATTGGAAAAATTTAGTTTTGCGTGTTTCGTCTAAAAAGAAGGGTTATTTACTTTGTAAAAATGAAAATCTGTGGCATTGAAGAAGGGACTTAAGTGTGTTCATTTCATAACGTTGCCTTCTCCCTAACCAAAACAATTACGCTATCATCTTGTCTTCCCCAAAGTTTTCTTTTGAAATAATGTATTATTAAAAATGAATACGATTGTTGGTGAGTCGCTGACATCTTGTCATGTACCAGATCTGTGGACATTATTTGAAAACCTTTACTTTTCAGAGAGTAAACAGCGACAAATATTTGATAAACTTTACTTTTCAGAGAGTAAACAGCGACAAAAAAGTAGCTAATCAGTACACGATGTTATTAATTAATCATCCAGAGTTAGGAAGTTTTTTGCATGCAGATTCAACGTCCTTTCAATATTCTTAATGACTTCATTTCGATGGCTTTTCTTCTGCTAGGATCATTAAATGAGTCACCGCCACAAAAACACAAGAAAAAAATTCATTAATTATCATTTAGATTAATTATGTGTTGCAAAGAAAGGCGGAATCTTTGGTTTCCTAATTAAAAAAAAAAGGTATATTTGAAAACAGCTGTCAAATACTAAAATATGAAATTCTGAAATTTGCTGCACATTTAGGGGCCATGTATGATCAAAAACAATAAATAAAAGCAAATATTTTAGGGATGTTTATTTTTCTCAGGGCTAGAAATAAAGGCTGGTCTAAGGACAATGTCTGTTGAAATATAGCTTTTTGTCTGGTCAACTTCTTGGATGGCTGAACAAATTGTCTGTTTGTTTACGAATGTTAAGAAGCTAAGTTCAGGTTTTAAATAGAGCTATATTACTTTTCATGTATTTAGTTTGATGCTGCATGTACAATAAAAGCATTGTGAAAATATTCTAACCTTCTTTTAAAAGGAGGGTGAGAGTTTATTGATATATGACATAATGCTTATTTTTTTCTGCTAAAAATGGATTGTATCTCAGCAAAAATAGGTTTGACTCAATATCTTGATGAGCACAAGCCCAAATAATGTTTTTGAGCCTTGCTCATACTGTTAAACAATACTTGATCAAATGAGGAATTTTTCATATTATTTTCATTTCAGTTATTAATCTGTTTACCACTATCCTACAGGTGAAAGAGCTTTTGAAGTCATTGAATGTGACATTTTATGCTCTGGAGATAGACTTACTAGGTAATATCAATAACACTAGAAAGTTGATTAAACAAGAAAATTGGATAAGTATTTTTATAACTTTTCTTCATTCATGTTATCAAAGGCTCAGTATTATCCCTTAAACTTGTAAAAGTGACTAGCTTCTCCGTTCTCTGTACATTTCCTCAGGTGCTGAAAGGAGAACTTTGTTTAACCCTTTAACTCCTGTGAGTGATCAAGACAATTTCTCCTTACAATATCAATACAATATCAAGCAGACAAGTGATGAGAATAAAGAAAAATATCAGTTAGAGGATTATAAGTTGATCTAATACCAAATTCTCCAAGCTAACATCACAAGAACTGTATAAGAGACAGTAAGGAGAATTGCTAATGAGATCATGGGAGTTAAAGGGTTGATAACTAAGAGCTTTTTTTAGGTGGTGATAATTTTCCTTAGTCTTGTGACCTCTAATCTGTGATTTGCTGGTGATGTCATAAGGGGAAATAAGATGTTATTCACTCCTAGTGGTCAAATAATTAACTGACCTCCTATTACACCTAGAGGCATTATGCTTCTATGTATACAGGCAAAAGATGTGCGTTTGTGGTTACTTTCTAGATGGTCCAGTTGTTTAAAGGGTGCTTAATGCTAACCAACTGAAAAAATTGCTATCTAGTGGATAACTGTCAAGGAAACGAATGTGCTCTCCATGGGATGGAGATTTATCCAGTGGACAGCTTTATTCACTCTTCAAACAACTAAGGGCAGACAGTTAGAAAAATGATTTTGTTTTTAACCTTTGTACTTCATCATTCTGAATAGTTGCTAACTTTTTAAGTTGTCTTGTTTTTCTGTTTTTTTTTTCTTCAGACAATGGATCAACGATACAGGACAAACTGAAAGAGATGACAGAACAAAGAACAGTTCCAAATGTGTTCATTCGTGGGAAACACATTGGAGGTGCAGATGCTACGATGAAGCTTCATACAGATGGAAAGCTAATGGAGTTGATAATGCCTCCATCAGAAAACTACACATATGATCTAATTGTTATTGGTGGAGGTTCAGGTGGTCTTGCATGTTCCAAGGTACTGTCTACAGGGTATCAGCACTGTTATGAGATGTTCACCTTGACTCATAAATTGCACACTGAAGATCTAATTATTATGTATATTTAAGCAATAGACTGCACCTTCTTTCAGTTTCTATCATTTTACAAAGTAGAGGCAAGAGATTAACAAACTTTTCAAATGTTAGCAAAAGATGTTTTTTGTCTTGTCATATGCATGGGGCAAAGAAAAATTCTGAGTCCCCATGTGGAATCAAACCTCACACCTTTGGAATCCATGCTCCGATACTCTGCCACTGAGCCCCAGAGACTCTATGGGGAGCAAGGCTCTTTACAAAGTCCACATACAACATACATCCTGCATACTGTTAGGATCAGCAATGTCAATAGTGTCATATTTTATAAAAACAAATTTGAAAGATGGTAAGTTTTAAGCTTGGCAAAGAAATAGAGAAAGGTGTTTTTCATCTTGTCACAAGCGTGGGACAAAGAGAAAATTCTGAGTCACCATGAGGAATAAAATGTTCTCCCAACAACCCAAGTGGGTTTATATGCCAGTAAACTGATAGAAGTGCAGGCTATTGCTTCTAAAAAATTAACTTCCAACAAAACATATGGTATTTACTCTTGTATAAGTCAAACTCGTGTATAAGACGACCCCCATTTTCAAGGTCAAAAATCAGATTTTTCAACATTTCTTGACAAAAAAATTAAATTCAGACAGATAGGAATTTCCCAAAAAGATAATTCAGAATGTATTGAAAACATGGAGAATTATGGTACAATGGTTCAATTATTTTGCTATGAGTTAATTGGGGCAGTAAATGATAGGTTTTTTAACCAACAAGGGTGCTAGTAGTATATCTCTCATTTTATGAATTATATTAGAGGCTCTGAGAGTTCATATTCACACAAGGGTAGTGATATAGATGGCAGTAACTATCATAATGCGGTTATGTTTGTGGAGTGAACATACAGACTTAGTGACAATGGCATGGACATATTTCACAGCAGCCATAACCATATAAAGACAAGAAGAAGTTTTTTTTGTCATTATGTTTATAATGTTAAAATGTGGACTCAAATACATGACAACAACATATCAACATGGAGATAATACATGAAATGACACACAGAAAGAACAGATCTTTCTTTACACCAATTTATCACAAGTGTGAACCAGGCCTTAGGAAGATCATGATGGAGTCTGGATTGGAAATCATTTCCAGCTCCGAAAAATCATGCAGCAAAATTCTTGAATAGTCAAATGCACACCTTTAGATGGTGTGGTCCCATTTTGTACATCATTTTTGGAGGGAAAGCTTGTGAATACTCAATCTTGTAAGACCAGAAGTAATCAATGGCTTTTCTTTTTTTTATATTTTAAATAGGAAGCAGCAATCATTGGGAAAAAAGTTGCAGTTCTGGATTTTGTCAAACCATCACCAATTGGCACTACTTGGGGTGAGTTTCCATTTATTCCTCCTACTCCTAAGATCTAAATATCAATTCTCCACACTGTCTGCCATATATTAGCTAAACTTTTTATCCTTGAGAATTTATCAATTAATCAAAGAATTTTCCTTGTTGATTTTTTCCTTTCTTCTTTTCACCTTTTCTGCTTGAAACTGTGTTATATTTGTAAGGGGAAATTCTTTTTAGTGGCCTTATTGAGTGAAACTGCTAACATTTACATGTTCGATATGATTGTCAATTCTCCCATTTAATTGCTACACATTTCCTTGTGAATTTGTGAGAAGAATAGGGTGTTAGATCAAGATGTAAACTTCTACCTGATAGGTTTCAATATTCCTATTACTTGATTGCTAGATAATGTATGCATACTTTAGGGAGAAGTTAGATGTTAATCACTTGTGGGAGTCAAAGCGTTAAGATTGACCAGTATCTAATTTCTCATTACTGTATTACCACTGAGTCATTCACTAAGATCATGAGAATACAGGAAATGATCCCCAACCTAAGATGCTTTGATTGTTAAACAAATTCTCCCAGTAAGTATTAAAGGAAATGTATAGGGAAGGGTATGGAGAATATAGAGACCAATGTTAGGGTTCAAAAAGTTAATTATGCATTTTTTTCATTCTCTATGCATTTCCTTTGGTACTGATAAGGAGTATTTGTTCAGCGATCAAACAGTTAACCCTTCACCCCCACCCCTCCCTAATATCAGTTTCTTTATTCTCCATACCCTTCTCTATTTGTTTCCTTTGGTACTGACATGGAGAATTTGTTTAGCAATCAAAGCAGTTAACCCTTCACCCATCCCCCCCCCAACACATTTCCTTTGTTATTGACAAGGAGTATTTGTTTAGCGATCAAAGCTTGTTTGGCTGGCAATCATTTCCTTCAATATCATGGTCTTGATGAATGATTAAGCAGTATTACTCAAAGGGGAAATTAGATGATGGTCACTCATGGGATGTAAATGGTTAAAGAACAATTCAGTTTTTGTTTAATAGATTTGATGTAATTTTTGTAGGTCTTGGAGGCACCTGTGTGAATGTTGGTTGTATCCCAAAAAAACTCATGCATCAGGCTGCTATTTTAGGTATGTTTTTTTCTCAGACAATTTGTGTGATTGCTAAAGGCAACGTATTGGAACAAGTTTTTAGATTGAAAATGCACCACAGGTGGGTGCATTTGAGGACCAAAGGTGCAGAATAGACAAGTGACAGGGTTCAAGATTCTGGAGGGTCAGGGGCATGATCCCCTGGAAAATTTTGATACAAATTTCTGAATAAAAAAGGATTTAGGACATAATCTTTAATTAGTGTGCCAAGCTCAAAACTTATTGAATGCTTCTGGTCAAATAATGTACCATTTTCTTTCTTTTAAATTGCCAGTGTCTTGAAAGCGAACCTTCACCACTTGTGGAGAGGGTGCATATGCACCTCTCACGCCCCTTCTCTCTACAGGTGTACACTAATAGTATTGTAAAGGTTATTTGGTCACATCAGGTATACATTGAACAATTTGTGCTTCTCTTTAATCTCTCATAGGACATGACTTAGAAGATGCAAGACAATATGGATGGAGTTTTGACACAACAGGTAACTACATAAATAGGGTAATTTAGCATTGTCAACTGAGTTGATAACATAAATTGACCACCATTAAGAGTTTCAAAATTGACATTTTGAGTGTAAGTTCTTTGTCAGAGAAATACTCTGGTTGTGCCTGGTTGTGGGTACCTTTGCATTTATGGCTACCATATAAATCAGTCTCAGTCATCTGAAGCAATGATCATTGCACTCCCAAGATCTCAATATACTTGCAGATTTTTCACAGTCTCTTCTAAATCCATTCATAAATTTCTCATAATTTTTGACATGTACATGTAGCCCTGAGAATGAACCATTATACCTCTGTACCCTCAGATGAGTTTGCATATTCTCCATACTATTCTCTATACATTTCCTAAGATGCTGATAAGGAGAATTTGTTTAATAATCGTTGATTATTTCTTTTATTCTTGTTACTTTAATGTTTGATTCAAGGGTGATATTGTAAGGAGAAACTAGATGCTCATCACTCTTTGGAGTCAAAGGGTTTAGTATTCAATCAAATAATATCCCTTAGGTAGCATTTTCTCTTTAATCATTCTTCTGGAAAATTTTTTGATCCTGTAAGAAGAGTCCCTTTTTGGTTACTTGTGGAAGGGAAAGAGTTAAAGACTTCCCATAAAAGTTTCTTCCATTATGATTTTTTTCTTTGGCCTAAGGTTGGAACTCTTTCTACTTGTCCTTTTTTTGTCTGTTTTAGTTGGCATCAGAACTACAACTTAATTTTCAACTTTTTTTTTTTCTCACCTTTTTTCAGTTAATCACAACTGGGCCACAATGAGAGAAAACGTTCAGGTATATAGATGTAGATGATTTACCCATTTAACTTTGCCAGTTTTGCTGTGATTTTGCTTCATTAACACTGAATAATGTAACTTTTTGTAACTATTGTTTTTTTTTCCACCCAGAATCACATTGGGTCTCTTAACTGGGGTTACAGAGTGGAACTTCGCGATAAAAAGGTCACATATAAAAATTCCATCGGCGAACTTAAAGATGCTCACACTGTCAAAGTAAGGACGTGCTCTGCAATCATGATTATATTTTATCCCATGTACTAACAATATTTTCCGTCACTTCACTCTCATTTCATGTTTCAAGTGATCTTTATTCCCAGTTCTCTTGTTCCATAGGTTAGGATAATTAGAGACCTTGAAATCAAGGTTACATACGATGTATAACCAGGAAACTCTATCTCTCATAATCAGCCTTGAAATCATCTCTTCCCTGAGTAGATCTATCAATAGAGAGGTTTTCAGGGGAATTTTTTAGTTCCAAAACCCAATCAAAACAGAGCTATGGTGATCCTATTGTCTCAGGGTTTGAGCTAGGATTTGGCTATTTAGGGTCAATTTGTTCCTTTAGGTTATTTTTGGGGGGACATTTTCCATTTCTGAGGGTCGCTTAAGCATAGGGAAAATTTCAAACTGAACTAAAATTTTAAACATTTAATGAAATAGCAACAAGTTACATTGTAAGGTGGCATGCTTCTTTTTATCTTTCTCTGTAAACTCTTAACTGTATGATTCTCTTACAACCAGCAGCTGATCATGGCCACTAAAATAATTAAGAAAGTGACTATTTGTAAAAGAACAAGACCAACAACTCTGTTGTGCCATTATCATTTTAACAATATCATATTTATTCTTGCTTCCACATTTCATTGCAGATCCTTCTTAGTTAATTAACATCTTACATGTACATTTATAATAGCAGTATTTCACGATTTCAAAATTCTCCTGTTCTTTGTAGCCCACTCTTCAAGGGCTAATGAAAAATCAAAGTCCACGGAAGGTGGCCCCTCGATGTCTATGGTCATAAGTACATCTAACCTGTTGGCTTTTAGTCTGTTTCTCAATGCATTTTTAATCCTGTTTTGGGAACTGAAGCCTCTCTCACAACAATTTCGGGGGAAAAAGCTGCAATTTTGAACATTTTGTCAAAGTATCCAGAATTGGATGAAACACTACTAAAGTGGTTTTGGGAGAAGAAGAGTCAGGATAAGTCTAAAAGTCTTTTATTTTGAATCACAATTTTGTAGTTTAAAAAAACAACGCTTTACTCAGCCGAGTTCTGTCAGATCGTGTTGCAATGTTTACACAAGCCGTGGGAATGACTGCTTCTGATTGGTCAGTTTCCGATGTTGTCAAAATGAGACAAAACAAACATCTAAATCTTGCTTCTCTTATCTTTCACAAAAATTGCTGTTAGCGTATTAATTCTGCGGCTAAAACCAAATTGTTTATTGAAAAATTGTGCCGTTTATGGTCGAATTTATGTTGAATTTCAACTCTTGCAATTTTTTTTTTGGGCACAAATACTTCAGTAAAATTTGTCGCAAAAATCGCTCGCTTTTTTAGGGGACAAATTGACCCCTGAATCATTTTTAGACGGGACATTTTAAATTTTATTGCGGGATTGGCGCAATGGCGCGGCCTGGCTCAAACCCTGATTGTCTTACATCAAACATCTGCTCACATGCATTGGGCAGCGAGATCAGTTTTTTTGGGATTGGCAGTTGACCCAACAAAAGTATGATACTTTTTGCTGGAACAAGCCGATTTAAGAATAAATCTACTCTTGAAAGGGTTAACCCTAAAAAACAGAGAAGATGGATACTCCCATTGATGGGTTCCTGGTACAACTTATTCAGGCTGTTCATTGGAATTTTGATGGCCTAAATTTTTATTTTCGACAAACTTGGAGAACATTATACTTTTATTTGTTCTCTTGCTACAAAATTTCTAAAACAAAAACCTATATGAACCATTGAATAGCCTTTTAACCCTTAAACTCCCAAGATATGATTGTTAATTCTCCCCTCTAGCGGCTACACATTCGCTTGTAAATTAGTTTCAAGAATTTGGTGTTAGATCAAGATGACAACTTCTACCTGATAAGTTTGTATATTCTCATTACCTGTTTGCAGGACAATTGAGGAATATTAGATGGAGAAGTTACATGTACATGTTAATTGTGACGACATTTCGTTTGTTTTACATGAAGTATTCACCGCTGACATAAGAGTGTAACCCGGATGAAAGCGTGTTTTTAGTTGATTAAAAGTTGTGTTCACGTATCGAGTGTTTTCCGCCGTTTTCGTCTATCTGTAATCCGTCGCCCGGCCTTCCAACAACGTTACATTAATCACTTCTATTAATTGAAATGGTTACGACCTAGTGTAAAACATTTATTTTGAGTTTTAAGCAGTATCTTTTTTTCTTTTCATTGTCCAGACCATCGATAAAAAAGGAAGAGAGGGGGAGATGACAGCTCAACATATTGTTCTTGCTACTGGTCTACGTCCGAGGTACCCTGACATCCCTGGAGCAAGAGAATACGGCATCACAAGGTAGTAAAGTAGTACATGAGTGTGTCTAACGTGTTGTGATATTGGAAATGATGTCCAAGATGATAATGATGGTGGTGTTGATTTTGATGGCGAGAATTACAGTAATGGTAATGATAGTGAGTCAAATAAGAGGAGGAGAAGAAAAAGGGAGATATTAGTTGTTATGGAAATAATAATCTGAAGCTTTTTGATGACGCGGAGCAGGACATGGGGGATGTTGATAATTTTTAAGGAGTGTTTTGTCAATTGAAATTTATTTCATTACATACTTTTATCAAATTCCTCTACGGAAAAAAAAGCCGCTAGAATTTGCTTCGCTTCCAACATGTCTTTGTAGCTCAGTTCTGTAGGCTAATTATGTAGTCGAATCGCGTGAACGAGGTTAGTCCTGAGAAGGACTGTTGTCGGTAACAACAGTGATGGATTTTTCAACAACCTCCGCAGCAGTCTTTACCAAAGTAATGAGGTATAATCAACTGAGTTGATAATAATCTGACTAAGGGCTAACGCTCGAAACGTCAGCTTTAAAACTCTTTACGGTGGTCAATTTACGTTATCAACTCAGTTGATAATACCCAATTACCCTGTTATGCTCTCGCACCGGCGCAGCAGAACAGTTTCCATAGAAACTTACCCCCTTTATTCTTTAGTCATTACGAGAGTTAAGTGATGACTTCCGTTTGGGTTTTCGAAACGTCGGTGGCTACTACCTGCAACTGTCCCTCTAAGGAGCAACTTCACCCGGACGATAGGACTACATCATCTAATATGCATGTCTTTCGTTCTCTAAGTCCAAATAATTGATATCTTGCATTGTCTGTTTATTTTCAGTGATGATTTGTTCTCGTTAGAAAACAGTCCTGGCAAGACTGTAATAATCGGAGCATCTTACGTTGCTCTGGAATGTGCCGGGTTCTTAGCTGGGATCAAGCTTGACGTAACTGTTCTGGTGCGATCAATTCTCTTACGAGGTTTTGACCAGGTACTGCACTTCAGAATAACCGTGGATCCTTAATCATTCGTCTCATTGTGAGGCTTTTCCGAATCAATGTCAGTATCTAATGGAACTGCGCACCTACCCCTCCCCTAAACCAGAATTAGCCCTAACTTATTATCAGTTGACTATGGTTGGGTTAGGGGAGGAGTTCGTTGGCAGTTGCTCAGATACTGACAGTGATGCGGTTTTCGTAGGTGTTAAGGTTGTTAACTGCATGGTTTGAGCTCCTTGAAGCACGTGATTTCATATCCAGGGTTCTAGCCTTATAAAACGATAGGTTGTCTTGGTAGGAAGTTCTGAATTGTATCAAATCATGCTTTGAACAACTTAGCCTAAAGCGTCAGACTAAGCACTTAGTATTTTGATATTCGAAGTTTTACGTGCAATCCAACATTACGGTCCAACGTGGCTTTTGGTCCGTGCTAAGGTCACAGTTATCGAGATTGTGCTAATCAGCAAAAGATTGCGCTGTAATGGCCCAAGAGCGCGTTTTCCACATTAAGAAGAGATTCAAAAGCTCTCCTTGACGGAGAACTGCAAAAGGGTTCAAGCGGATTTGGTCGCCTTTTGTTAAGATTTCAAGACACTTTGATAAACAACGGGAGAAGGAATAACAACATGGAGCAACAGGCAAAGCAACGCGAGGGGTGGAGAAATGAAGGGAACTTATTTTAGACGTTTCAGCACTGCATCATATATTTGTGAAATACACGCTTGAATTGTATAGCATATATATTATACCTTACGTGTGGCGAGGCGGTCTGACTGCCGCTGCGGTGGAATCAAACCCAAATTTAATGAGCATCTTGTGATAGATTATACGTGATTTGTGTGGTTTGTGTTAATGTGATGCTTTTATTTTATTTTTGTAGCAAATGGCTGAGTTAATTGGTAATGACATGATCAGCCATGGAATAAAGGTTAAAAGACCATCAATTCCTACAAAGGTAGGTGTATGCATCACTTAAGAAGAACTAGCAGCTGTTGTTGTTGTAGTTGTGGTCTTCATTCCTAATCCATTAGTTAAATGAGCAATTCACAAGGTCAGATTTGATACTGCAGGATTCCTGCCTCAGATACATATTGTTGTTTGTTTGTTTGTTTGTTTGTTTGTTTTTAATATGTTTCTTTCTTTCCGTCCGATTTCGAACGTATCCGTCCGTCCGCTTGCGGACATTCCCTTGGGATTTCATTTAAAGCCGCTATTCAGCGGTCAATCAGACTTTCATTCCGACTATTTCTTTGAATTTCACGGTAAGGTGGTGACATCGGAGTATTCTGCCATTGGCAGCCATCTATTAAGAATAGGTTTTTGACACTCCTGTTGGTGGATTTTTCTCAGATTGAACTTATAGAAGAAGGAACACCCAGAAAACTAAGAGTTTATTATAAACATTTAGACAGTGGCGAGGAGGGCTCCGTAGAGTGCAACACTGTAAGTATTTTATTGGTTTGGCCGTTTCATTTTTGCTAGTGCCTTAAACGGTAGTTGTATTACAAACCTGAGATCTTTTCAAGTGACTATGTTAGAACACTGTTTGATGAGTACCGTAAAAGGAAAACCAAAGTAATCGCAACAGCCAATTAGAAGTAAGGAAAATACCCTGAAGAGCCAATGAGAACTCAAATTAGAAACAAGTAAAGCGCAGGAAAACGCGGGCGACCAATTCGTGATTGGTGTTTGTTTTGCATAAGATTGGTTGAGAGAGTGGTGCGGGTTTTCAGGACCAGTCACAAAGAAAATTAAAAAAAACCAGTGCAAACACGGATTTGAAAAGTTTCGAAACTCAGTTGAAAATTGCTCTTTATTCACAATGGCCATTAGAAGGAAAATATATTGCACGGAGCCAATAAGAGCTAAAATCAAGTGCTTGAAGCGCGGGAAAACGTGAGTGACCAAGCCACATCAGCCAATCAGAACAGATGAAACTGTTACTGTCAAGGGGCCAATGAGAACTCAAAGTGCTGAAAACAAAACAGCTGCGTGAGGGCGGGAAAACGTGAGGGACAGCTCGTGACTTGTTTTAGTGTTGCTTTTGATTGTTTGAGAAGGTTACGTGAGTTTCTAGGCCAACCATAGAAGGGAAACCATTGTAATACCAATGAACGTGATATAAATATTTTGTTTGCTTTTGACATCAGGTGATGTTTGCGATTGGCAGAGACCCATGTACACAGGGAATTGGTCTTGAGAATGTCGGAGTGAAACTCAACCCAAAGTAAGTGTCAGTCCGTATCAATGTACTGTTTGACCACAGTTGGCAGTAATGTCGCAATCTGATTGGCCAATTTGCCGTTGTCGATAAGAGTACAGACAACGCTGCTCGTGTTAACGTGTCACGCAGTGATTACGCACTGAAAGAATCGTTTTATTTGATGTCGAATGAGTGCTGAGCCTCGTGAGTCCACAAACATGAACACTGTGATGACGAATCTTGTTGTCGATAAGGGTACAGACCACGCTAAACCACCGTCGATTTGCTAATTTCTCCTCGGATTGAGGATTGACGGGGTTGAAATGGAGGGAGTTGTAACGGAAGTTTTATTTCTCACTTTGAGGCAAAATAAGAACGAAGAAAGATATCGTTCATTTATCTCTATACACCCACTGTTAGTATCAATATTCTCCTCACTCTTCCCTATATTTCCCCTTTGTTAATAACAAGGAGAATTGATTTAACAATCAAAGTTTCTTTGACTGGCGACAATTTCCCATATTCTTATGTCCTCAATATATGACTCAGGATTGTTACTGTAAGGAGAAATTAGATGCTGGTCACTCTAAAGTTTCGAAGGGGTGCAATGAACGCGGAATAGAGAGCTAATAAGTTTTAGTCTTCCGCGAAGATTCCAACCTCAAACCTGTCGAAAGCGTAGCTTTTACACTGATCGCTAATCAGAGAGGCTTTGACCGTTATCGAGTTCTGGTGCCCGACCAGAGAGCTTAAGAGAACACTTAGTGGGAAAAAGGTGGTAAGTTTCTAAAGAAATTGTGGTGCTGCGTCGGTTGGTGAGCATAACAGGATAATTTAGTATTATCAACTGTCTTGATGACGTAAATTGGCCACCGTCATAAGTTTCAAAAGTGACGTTTCGAGCGTTAGCCCTTCGTGAGAGCGAAAGCCGCTCCTACGAAGCACCCGTCGATTCGCTCTGACGAAGGGCTAACGCGCGAAACGTCAGTTTTGAAACTCTTGACCGTGGCCAATTAACGTTATCGACTCAGTTGATAATATTAAACTACTTTGTGGGAAAGTCACTTCTAGGCTCATATATTAGAAGCGTTCCGCGTGTTTTATAGCATCAGCAATGTCGAAAGCGTAGCTTTTACACTGATCGCTAACCTGAAAAGCTTTAATTGTTAAAGTAAAAACAATTCTTCCTGTCGGTACAAAAGGAAATAAGTGAGTGGAGAATATTTATACTGATTTTAGGGTTTAAAAGGTGTAAACATTACCTACGAGTGCTTCACAAGAAATGTCTTTTCTCTTATAGGAATGGGAAAGTAATCGCTGGCGACAATGAACAAACTAGTGTGCCAAATATTTTTGGTGTCGGAGATATCATGGATGGCAAACTAGAACTCACTCCAGTTGCGATTCAGGCCGGTAGATTACTTGCACGTCGGTTATACGGAGGCCAAAATGAATTGGTAAGTAAAACTCGCATCCTGGTTTGTAGTACAATAGAATTAAGGCTTGTGTGTCTCGATCCCCTGTGTTGCAACGTGTTGAGAGACTGGATTCCAAATCTGCTCTCCTAGATACAATAATTTTTTTTGTGTGATACAGTGAGGCCTTGTTTGTTACTAACGAGAGCGGTTTTCGATTAAGTGTCATGAGACCAACGACAAAGTAATCACAACCGCCATTCGGAGGAAAGAAAAATTCCTCTAGGTACCAATGGGAACTCAAAGTAAAACCAAACAGACTGTCTAAAGCGCGGGAAAACGCGGGCGACCAAGTCGTGATTGGCTTAAGTTTTGCATCTGATAGGTTAAGAGAGTGGCGCGACCGCCAATCACAGCGGAGTAATGTTAAAACCATGCAATCACGGACTATTTTCGATGCTCAATTGAAAAATGGTCGAAAGAAATGACATCCTTTTATTTTTCCATCAAACAAGCTATCACGTTCAAATTTACGATAGATTACGGTGAAATCTTTCCTGAGAATAATCACAACGGCTAATCTGAAAAACCGAAAATATCACGGGAAGATATGAGAATTCTACGTGAAACAATCAAACTTTCCGAAGCGCGGGAAACCGCGATAGGCTAACTCAGAACAACCTTTCAGAAGAAAGGAAATCGTTTTAAGGAGCCAATAAGAACACAGATAAAAACCAGCCAACAGCCTAAGGTGCAGGTAAATGTGGGGGACCAAGGCATGATTTGTCTTAGTTTTGAGTCTCAGTTGCTGAGAAAGTGGTAGGTGTTTTCTTGACCAATCTCAGGGCGAAGTGAAGCAGTGATACTCAATACTAACTTGTGTTTATCTGTTTTAGTGTGATTATGTAAATGTCGCTACAACAGTATTTACACCATTGGAGTATGGCTGCATTGGTTTGTCTGAAGAAGACGCCATTGCCCGCTTTGGGGAAGAGAATGTGGAAGTGTACCATACTAACTACCAACCTCTCGAGTACACGGTCGCCAAACGGGACGTGTCCGGCTGCTATGCAAAGCTGGTTTGCAACAAAAGTGATAATGTAAGTATTGCATGTTATTGGGGTCTTTACAGAGTGTTATTACACGGCAACCCTAGCCTCGGTTAACCAAGGTAAAACGATTGGAGAGAAGACGATCTAAAATTGGTTACGTCCACAGCCCTTTGGTTTGATTGGAATACGCCTTCAAACCCTAAACCAGAATAACATATGTAATTGGTTTGAATTCAAAATTTCATTTTCTCGGCTAAAATATCATTTTAATGAATCAAACTTTGCCAGATTGTTTTAGATGGAATGGTCATTTTCAACGCCTTTAGATTAAGTGTTGTAAAAAATTAAAGAAATCTCAACGTCCAGACAAAAGGAAGGAAGATGCCTTGAAGAGCCATTGAGAACTCAATAATATATAGATTTAGCCAAGCCTAAAAGCGGAGCTCTCATTTTTTTTTTTCTCAACGCCTTGCCCCAGCCAGGACTAGAACCCGGGTCGTCCGACTCGGAGCCCAGTGCACTGACCACTGAACTACTGGACAAAGCCGAGGCGTTAGAGTGCCTGCGGTACAGTTGACCACGCATGTTAAAAGTAGCACCTTGTACGGTCGTACGGTCGTACATCCAAATTTTTTTGGCTTGATGGGTTACTACTATTTTGTATAATTATGGGGCTATGCTCTGCGAGCTCCGCTATGAAATAACTAAACTGGATAAAGCGCGGCAAAACGCGAGCGATGGTTTTACTTTTGCATCCGACTGGTTGAGGACGTGGTGTGAGTGTTTTGGACCAATAACTGAGAGAAGCAAAGTCAAAGCAATTTCTGATTTCTTTCTACACTCAGTTGAAACTTGCTCGGCGGCTTCTATGGATTTTCTTTGTGGTGAAAAATGTGATGTGATCCATCGAAGAAAGATACCCCAACATTTGAACCTAGTTATGGCCTAGCTCAGTTTAGAGTTCCCTTAAGCTCAGTGGTGAGAATCGGAGCGAGATATGCGAAAGTCAGAGGCTTGACTCCTCATGTAACACTCAGAAATTATCTTTTTCCCGACAAAACTATTCTCTCAAGGCTGGTGCAAGAATCGAGAACAAAATCGCCGAGTATTTGAAATCAAAACCAAAGCCATCATTCAAGAAATGCCTTCAGTGTTGCAGTTTTTAGTGCACGAGGGGGTTGATGCTGATACATTTTTCTTCATTAAAAGCTTGATATTTTTATGATAGACTATATCTATTCGCCTTCTTGTCTTAGTATTGATCTTATTTAATTCCTTTCTTTTGTATGTAATGATTTTGTCTTCTCTTTATGCATTAATTTTCCAGCTATGTATATCTTTTCTCATATTTGTTATTTTATGTTGTGTATGTATATATAAACTCTACACCGCCTCGATTAGCTTTGCTGTTTGCAGTGTGCAGTTACCTCTCTTTCATTAGTTAACTTTCATTAGCTAATACACAGAAACAGAATGTGTCCTTTCTTTCGCTGACATTTACAATGTTTCTTGTTTAACGGATCCATTAACTCTCCATTTTGTTTTCGTGCAGGAGCGCGTCGTCGGCTTCCACGTTCTTGGTCCAAACGCTGGAGAGGTGACGCAGGGCTATGCTGTGGCCATTAAGTTAGGAGCCACGAAAAAAGACTTCGACAGAACTATAGGTATCCACCCCACAGTGTCAGAGGTGAGTGTATCGACTGTTAGATTCTCCTTACTATACCTTCGTAAAGCAAGAAGATAGGTTGTGAGAATTTGTCTTTTGGTGGAGATATGTTACGTCAATCGAAGTCAGACTTGCTTTAACCGGGCTCCAGTTCCAGGAACTTACAAGAGCGTGAGAACCGGAGTGGAGGTGGGGGGAGGTTGGGGGGAAGAGGTACTAAGCTCAAAAATGGTTATCTATAATGTAAGCAGCAAAAAACAAAAATAAAAACAAGAACCGGCAAAGGTAGAGTTCTTGATTAAAGCTCGGCTTTTAACTCCATAATCTGTTTCCTTTGTGCTATGTGGAATTATTATATGAGAAGGTTGAATGTGACCATTCCTTCGACAAGACTCTGAAAGGCAGAGAATACCGGAAGAGATAGGGGGGTATGGGGGGACTGGGGGGGACGAGGGGGGGTTGGGGGCTGCGGCGACGGGGGGGTGGGGGGCGGCGGTGGCGGCGGCGGCGGCGGCGGCGGCGGCGGCGGCGGCGGCGGCGATGGTTATTTTGGGAACGGAGTTGTAGAGAGGGTCTGTGCGTGAGTGCTATAAAACGTTTAGTGGCGTTTTATAATGAAGAAATGTAAAATGGTTTCCGTGTTTACATAGCCTGATGTAAACACGCGGGAGGTTGGGAGAACACGAGATAAGCGTAGGAAACCACGACGCGAAGCGGAGTGGTTTCCAGCTTATCTCGTGTTCTCCTAACCTCCCGCGTGTTTACATCAGGCTATGTAAACACGGAAACCATTTTACATTTCTTTTATAAAATAACTAATGAAAGAGGAACGAAAACCATGTTTACATACGCTCATGTGAAATGGGTTTATGGCCAATCAGAGCGCGCGTACTATTTGAATTATTTTATAATTTTCCGTGTAATCTAAACAAAGTGTGTTATGTTCGAATATTTTTCTGTAGGTGTTCACAACACTTGGAACAACGAAGAGCTCCGGAGCGGACGTTGCCGCTTCTGGCTGCTGAGGTTAGACCCTGCTGTCGCTTTGTCTTAGAATAATGAGAGCATGCAAACGCTTCTTGTTTATTCTGAGAGCGACAGCGGGGTTACACACCTCACCTCGGATGACCTCGGTACAGTAGCGACGTTTCCTGTTTGCTTATATGACGGTGGAGTTTGTAAACTCATCTTTGTGGGAAAACTTCACCCGATGTTGTGCTGGAGGAAATTCCGACACTATTTGCGGATTTTTTTCCGTTGATGGTCAATTGCACTGTATAGATATTGACTCTACCGTGTTGGACTCATTGGATTGCAACGCTGTTCAGGAAGATTGCGTGACAAACACTGTAACGAAGTGTTACATGATTCTAGTTGGTCACGAAACAGTTAAAACTTTGACTTCTTTTCTTTCCTTTTCGCAATGTACGAAGTTTCACCGTTTAATTAACTGTATTCAAAGTATCGCGAAATTTTATATGAAAAGGGTTTCTTCTCCATTAATTGTTGTACAGGCGTCCAAATGTTTCCTTTTTTTTTTTTTTTTTTTTCAATCATTACTTAGTAGCACAAAGGTATATTTATTTCCATTTGGGAGAACATTGCGGAAATTTAAGACCAGAATTTGTTGTGATTTAAGGGAAGTTTTAACCGATATGAGACCTACTATTGAGCAATTTTCAATCGTGTGTCAAAAGGAACCCATTGTTACTTTAGCATGGGAGCAGGCTCTCATTAATGGCGCTGCAAGACGAGCGTTTTTCCGCCACCGGGAAGATTAAAGACGAGTTGGGGAGAGGTTTGCCGTTCTCCTGTCGGCTCGTGTCGCTCAAGACCTCATACTTTCTCGCGAGTGCCGAAGCGCTTATAATGATGGCCTGCTCGCACACTACTACTGCTCTGTCCTTACATATTTTTTTTTTCGCTCTGTGATAGTTCGCCATGTGTACGTGAATTTCTCACTGGCTACTTTTAGTACTTCGTCTTAATTGGCCGTTGTGACTACCGTGTTTGAGGTTTCATAACTTTAAATTCTGATCTTACTTAGCTTTGTGCAGTGTACAGCTTACAATCTACGTGGTGGGCGCTTGGCTGAGAACTTGCATGGAGCGAGTTTGTCACGCGTGGGAACAACACAAGCTTAAGCATGAGAAGCATGAGAAGCATGCGAACCATGCCGGCCGCCCTCGTACGCCTTACTCGCTCCCTCGCCAAGCCCTCTTTACTTATTGTTGATGTGAAATTTTCACTTCTCTTGACTGTCGTAATTCAGGTAGATAAACAGACAATGGACCACTGTAAAATAAAAATGTTTTGATGAGTTGTGTCCTTCCTTCCTTCTTTTTATTGCCTCGCCTTCGTTCCAGAAATGGTTTTACATTTTCTTTCTTTGGCTGGTGCTTCAAATTTACGAAAGCTGATTTTGAGTGGAAAGAGACACTGTGAAAGTAACGCATTCTGCCCAGGAACACAACTCACTGACCCGGTCACGTCTTAAAGCCGGCCGTCTCGACCCGAAGCCCTGTGCATTCAGCACCAGGCTACTACGTCTCTGGTATCATGCTCACTCCTGTTCTTAGGCCTGGCAACTAAGCGCGTAACAACTGTATATTGGATTTGACACTTCAGAATTGTTTTCCACATCGGCGCCATTTCAGATTTATATGGTTTTACTAAAGATTTTATTAAACTTTGTACCTTATCAATGTGTTGCTATAACACTGTTATGAATTTTTCTTTACCACATATTCAACGGCTCCTAAAATGTAGATCCGAATTAGTTATCAGGTTGCGTTTCTGAGCTACGACCCATCAGGTGCTCTCAAACACTTTACTAAACGCGAACCCAGTTTGTACTCTTAAACGTTAAAATTCTCATTTAAAAAAATCTTTCAACAAAAACACTCCCAAGAAAAAGTTACTTGGAAGGAGAAAGCACAAGATTACATCTCTGAGCCCAGTGCGTACGAAACACGATCAAAACTGCTATTTTTAATAAACATGTTTTATTTACATTCCAAGTCACCAGAATTGTAATAAACGTGTAACACATGTAACAAAGTGATTCAATAAAACAATAAATTATGATTCAATTCATTTCTTCTTCTTTTTCAACACAATAACTAAGATTAAACCATTTTTAAATACTTAACGGAACAAAATCGGATATAAAGATAATTTTCCCGCTTGGAAACTCCAAACAGATTGTTGACAAGGTGAAGCGGTAAAGAAACGGTAGATGTTACAAAAAAAAGGCCATCCTAGAGCAGTTTTAAAATCATGATCTTTTTCAAAGCACTTCACCGTAGTTCTGTGTGCCCGATGCCAAGTTTTTTCAGCTGGTCTTCATAACCATCGATATTTCTCTTCATAATATCCATACAAGGGCCAAGAAGCCTTTCAAAAGCGTGCACGTCGAGAACTAAAGAAAAGGAGAACAAAGAAGACGTTTGAGCTCTTTACAAGAAGTCTTATTTTTAGCTCCTTCAAGAAGGGTTCGTCAACTTCCTTATCAAATTAGGGTTGGAGCACTGATAAAATTAAAAGGTGAAAAAACGGAAATTCTGGTTGTTTCTAGACATGGGTTTCGCTGTTGCTGTTGTTGTTGATGAAATGTTGCACGAATATTTCCGTTCTTTTAATAAAGGTTTTGAACGTCAATGGATGAATTTTTTGTCTGCTTGTTTCTTGCTGGCACGAATTTCTTTTGGTGCATTTTTTTTTCCTTACACTGTTTTTTAAATTTCTTCCCCATCCTCAAGAACAGTTTCACGCAAACCTTCCAAACAAAAATTATCATCGAAATACTGTTAATGCTAGTTACAACATAATAACTGCCGTGATGATGGCGGCTGTATCTTAGGAGTGTTGATGGTGACGGGCTTACTGAAGTAATCTGCAACCTCCCGTAAATGTCTTTCCCAAGATATCGCTAAGCAACACGAAGAATTCTTCAATCTCGTGTTAAAAATCATCCGAGATTGTGTTGGTTTCGTTTTACTTCGCTGTGATTGGCCCACAAACCGTGTGCCACCTTTTCCACCAATGACAACAAACTCAAGTCAATAGTTACACGGCTTTTCGTGTTTTCCCGCGCTTGAGACAGCTAACACGATTTGAGCTCTCATTGGGTTGTTATAATACTTCCTTTTATTCTGATTGGCCACTTTCCTAATGTTGTTTTAGGAAAATTGAAACGAAAAGCGCTTTAATTAACATTTTCCAGCCTACCCGCAGTGACAAGGTCTCCTACTGCATACACCGACGCAGCACGTGGTTTGTGGGTAACAAGCGCCAGTTCACCAAAGTAACCCCCTTTTGTACACTGTGTCAGTTCCACTTCTTCTGTAGGATCATCCTACGGAGCAAAATAGACAGGACATCATGTCATAGCTAAAATACGGCAAATGCATAGTTAAGAGGTCTTTGACGTAAGAGAAAATAAAGAGAGCCGAAAATGGGTACAAACGAAAACAAGAGAAGAGAAAAACCATATGAACCATGACAAAAGCTGATAACAAATGGACACATCTCAAAAGCAGTAACTGGGAGGCACGGGATTGAATCCCGTCGAGGCCTGCGAGGATTATTGCTTTACCAAACTTACTTTAATAAACTAACTAACTTCCTTACTTCCATTGTTTTTTTTTTTTTGGCAGGAAAAAAGTCATGATCTTGTGTTTCAAATCAAAATGGAAAAACAAATGAGGGTGGAGTCTGTACCTGATTGCGTATCCTGATGGATGCTACCCCGCTCTCTACGAAGAACATACAGTCTGCTTCATCTCCCTGCAAAGAAGAGACCACCAGTTAAAGTCTCCTGTGAAAGGTTGCTTTTTAAAATCGACCCACGAGGGATGCATATTATGGGCTAGCGGTGCATAACAGAGAGCGGATTTAATGATTTGAGTTACAGAAAAGATTGGCAGTTATATGAAAGTCGAACTAATAATGTCGTCTTGAAAAAAAAAAACGGTTATAATAATGTTGACTGTATGATAGCTCTCCTCACCCCTTTTTCGCTTGAAGAGACTAGCATCTAATTTGTCCTTTCAATACCACCCCTTAAAACACACCAAGGTCACAAGGACAAGAGAAACGATCACCAGTTAAAGAACCACTAGATCGTTATACAAACTCTCCTTGTCAGTACCTTTGGAAAACATGGAGGACAGTATGGAGAATATGCATACTGATGTTAGGGTGTCACGGGTTGAATATCTGTAATTAGATCTCTTACCTGCTGGATCACACAATCTCCATCTTTGAACGTCCTGGACTGAAGTGCATCCGCTAGATTCATGATCTCATAGTCCTGAAGATAGTTATGCAAATACAACGCTATTTACCACAAAACCAACTCATTAATGCCATTGATCGGAACATTCAGATTTTCTCGATAGTTTCTCCCCAAAACAGACCTCTGCCACAGTTTCAGTGACTATGCTCCTGGTTCAAGATTTTAGTAGTAAACCAAACTGCAGTCAGTGTTCGAGATACACGCAACAAATCTCTTTTAAGGCTTAAGACAACTAGAAAACAAAGTCTACAAACTCCTTTTCACTCGATTTTTTCTGACATTTGGGAAAAATCCGAGGTATTTACCTTGAAATAATTTCAGTCATTTTTTAAACACTTGTCTCTGACAAGGGAAAACAATATCTCCAATTTGATGTGAAACTTTAAAATCTTATTCTTTCACAGAGTCTCACTTAAGCAATCAGTTCTATTAAAGCAAATTGAGGAGGATGAGGAAACGTTCTTACCGTAACTTCCTTCAGCATGGGAACTTGCTCTAGTAACTTTTCATGTATTTTCCTCTGCAAATAGAAAACAAAACTTAGGTTAAACATTCAAGTGACAAATTGATCTTTTACAGTTGTATAAAGTCACTACAGCAGAGGAAAGTTTTAAAAATTCACCCCTTAACAGTGACTGAACCTCTACCTCCAAGAGAATGGTATCTTGTGAGCATTGTTCCCTACATCATAAAATATTCTTGGAACACTAACTACAACAATAACAAGACTTGTAACAGAAGTTTCCATGAAAGCTGGTTAATAGCAGTCTACTGCCCCCTGAAAAACCTCTCACTACTGTCTTTTAAGCCTGTGGACAGGCTCTCATATTAAGGTTTTGCCCTGTGGCCCCTTTTTGGGCACAGCCGCCAAGAACACCATCAGCAGCCCCTTATGGTAAAATTTATTAAAACCCCTACTAATAAAGGTGATAATGAGACAATAGTGGTTTTAATACCAATCATAGTGAAACTGACATGCTGAAAACTACAGACACCTGTAATATGTCCACATGTATACTGCACCAGTGAGGAGCAAGTAAACTAATCTACAGATAGCGATAGCAACTATTTTGTGGTTTTGAGGTTTGCAGATGTGCTGGATTTTATTGTCAGTGATCAGTAAATACACAGCTGACTTGTAAGAATCAATTCAAAGCACTCATGGTTTTCTGGCTTTCACAGTAATTCCAACAAAAAGAAAGAATGACATCTTGAATTTAACTCTTTCACTCTCACAAGTGACCAAGACAGAATTTCTCCTTACAATATCAATACAATACCAAGCAGGTGGGTGATGAGAATAGAGAATAATATCAATTATTGGATTATTAGTTGATCCGATACCAAATTCTCTGAACTAACATCATGAGAATTATATGGCAGATAGTAAGGAGAATTACTAATTAGATCTTGGGAGTGTAAGGATTAAGAGGATTTCAGAACATAATTATACAGATATTTGGATTTAGTAAAGCACTCACCTTTTTGGCTGCAGCCTTTAATAGTATCCTCCTAAACGTATTTCTGTCCTATTTAAATAACCAGTACTTCATTAGCCCAAAGTTTTGGCAATTAAGTCTTCTACAAGGCTATCAGTATAAAATCAGACACTGAAATTTATGGAAATAAAACATGTTTTCTTACCAGAGCCCAGAGAATTCCTTCTGAAGTTGCCACTATTGTTGCCGCTCTGCAAAGAGAAAATGGTTTAATGGGCACCCTTGCTGTCACTCATCCACAAAAATTACTTTCTTAGGATCCTTGCAGGGTTTTATTTTCTCTGACAATCCCTTTTGGGATTTCCTATTGCCCCACCCCACCCCTCTCCTTCCTGTCCATCATTGCTCACCCCTTAAGCACAAATTTTTCTCTCCCTAATGAGCCTTCTACTGCTGTAAAAATCAAAGATGGCAGCCACAATTTTCACCTCCAAAATATTGAGCATTCACACTCTCAAATGCCTCGGGTCAAACCACATAATCAGAAGTCCTCCACTGGTATAGCCTGAAGCACAGGCATCT